TTTATTCCACCATCTGCTTGAACAACAATCCTTCCTCCTAACAAAATCTGACAATTCGAGAGAACCTTGAGTTCTAGACATGTTGTAGCACAAGATAATTAGTGTGCGGACCATTTTCATTTATATAGTGCTCTGTGAACACAAATTAGTTAGCATAAATTAGTTAAATGACGAAAAATTAGGTGTCTATTTACTTGTGACCACTCAGTGTACATTAAAATGTGTATTAATAGCTACATTTTGATGTCAAGTTTATTTGCATACCATGATGATAAAGTACTTTAATTAAATTTTGAATGTAACTCAAACCTTGTCACGTGCAGGAAAGGATGCCTGTATGGAAAGAATAAATATTGTGGGCTTTTATTCAAAACATTTTAAAGAACATAGTTTTACTTCAGGTATTGTTTTGAGAAGAATAACTTAAGTGTTTCTCTGAAAACCTTAACATTATATACACAAGGTCAAACCATTTGGTCAAAGCATATATTGGAGAATTAATGTGTACTTTAATTTAACTTATTATGTTTATCTTCACAACATGTTTCAAGCTTTTAATAAACATGAAAAGTCAATTGTACACGAAAACAATTTTTTTTAATGATGCAATTCTGAAAGATTTGTCTGTGAATTTCTGAAGCTTTTAATAAGTCAGTCTGAGTGGTAAGTGATTTTTCATACTAAGAATAAATTACATTTGCACAACTTCTAGTACCTCCTAATTGATTGTAAAAAGTTTGTTTTTTTCAATCATTTTTTATATTTTATATTATTTTCTATACCACAACACTAACTGCATATAGACTCAATCAATTTGACCAACTTTGTAACTACCATGTGAAAAGAAATGCCAATTAAATCCTAATTACCTTTTTTTATTTTTAGAATGACTGTATATTGTAAGAGACAATTACAGTTATTTATCCTAAAAACTTCAGTCCTCTAACCATTTCACAACTGCTTTCATTTAATTTTATTGTTTTATTGCTCTTTGGACAGTGTCTAACTACTAAACTTGTGTAAGAGTGACAAATTGTCCATTGAGTACTTTAGTTTGTATATATTTCAGATATGCAACTTAGAACACAAGTAATACAATGTCCTGTAACTATTATAATGTAATTGGTTTTGTAATTAATCTCTATGAGTGAGTTTAAGTAATTTCATTGGCTGGATGAGGCATCTCTGCAATAGTACAAAATGAAAGTGTTGGCTGAATGATTCATAAACTGTCATTAGAATGAACTAGACTTATAAGGAATTCAGTAAATTAAAATATTATAAATAATCCAATAGCAAATATCAAAAGAATTATTAGCATTTTTTGAAGGCTGGATGTGATAAAAGGGTATGGCATGTGAGTCTGACTTTTTAATTTTTATATCAGTTAAACAAGAAGATTGGAGGCTATAAGTTTAGTTTATGTCTTAGCAGTATCTATAATGTAAGTGTGTATTTTATATTAAAACTCAGGAGCTCATATAGGGGTAAAAAGAGTATTTAAAATGGGTAGTTTTGATCAAGGAAGTATGTTGTACAGGGAGATGGAGATTGAGAATTTGTTTAAAAATTATCTTTTGGAGATAAGAAATCAAACTTGCATAATTAGAAATATTAATTATAAATTACATTTTGATGCCAAGTTTACTGATGTTCAATGATAATAAAGTAGTTTAATTAAATTTTGAATGTAACTGTCATATAATAAGGTCATATAATGTGCACATTGACCCCCACCCATACACATAGGAGTAAACATTCTATTTAAAACATTTGTCTTTAACAGTACAAAGTTTTGTAGAGCAAATATATGTACCATTTATATTTTATAATAACTACGTGTTTCTGTGTCCTTACAGAAAATCAAAGGAGAATTTGTGGAAAAGGGTAGTTAAGTTTTTAGAAGAAAACGAGTCTCGTGTACGGGTCGAGGACCAGCATATTGCAGGAGAAGTTTTCAATGTGTGGCGTTGGATACAGATATCTCCACCAGAGGTAAGCTTCCTTTTTTGTTTTGTATTTTCTGGTGAGTAGTTATTTCCCTGATTTGCTTTTGTTGTTTTATATTACTTAAAAGTAAAGGCTTGATAGTACGTGTGAGAATGTATTATAATAATGAAAGTCTTCCGGAAATCCGGATATTTCTAAAAAAATCCTGAAAACCTCCGGTTTTCTTCCGGAGAAACAAGTTTTTTTTAATTATTTATCGGGTTTTGGTGTTCCGTGCCATAGATAAGCGTATATGCAATCGCACAGTTTGTTTACATTCGGCGAAAGGGCGCCGCCATTTTGTAGTCTTGCAATGCTTGCTGGCATGTACAAGACCTTGTATGCTTATAATGCAAACTTCATGTCATGTGAATGAGATTTTATCTCGAAAACGTGCTTTAGAAAACGCGGTCATTCTTTTGTGTACCTTCCTATTGAGCGAGACAATTGAAGAGCCTTATCTATTCAAAGATGTTTACCAAGAGATAATAGATCAAATGAACTAAGAACTCTCCGTAGTATTTTATGTGATTATGTTTTGGATTTTCACTGTGACCACTGATAGGGGGAATTTGAGCAGGCAAGTGCCTATGGGGATATTCTGCCCAAATTTTCTTAAAGTCAGGACTTAAGTTTTTTCACGGTTATATACACAGTGTGTGTGTGTGTGTGTACA